GCCAACAAAGGTATTGGTTGGTTTAAAAAGGATAATGGTTGGATCAAGGATGATCATGGTTGGCTTAGCAAGGATATTGGTTGGTTAAAATAGGATATTGGTTGGCTCAAAATGGCTATTGTTTGGCTCAACAAAGATATTGATTGGCTTAACAAGGATATTTGTTGGATCAACTAATACATTGGTTGGTTAAAGAAGGATCATATTTGGCTTAACAAGGATCATGGTTGTCGGAATAATGATTTTGTTTGGCTCAAAAAGTATATTGGTTGGCTCAACAAGTATCGTGATTGGCCTAACAAGAATCCTGGTTGGCAAGAAGACTCCCATTTCCTGCAATTTAACATGCACTGCATTCACGAGACTAATCACCATACATCAAAGCTCTCCAATAAATGAACGTTTTAGATTAGTGTGAGTGGAACTGCCTTTAAGAAACATTGTTCGATTTCAAATCGTAACTCTAAAGACAATTCATGATCAAAATGTAGACACCAAAACCGAAGTAAATAAAACAGTAAAACAATTATCGTACATTTACTACTTATTGACATTCTGGACGTTATAAATGTTAACTTAAATTGTTGAATATTTCTTGCGCCAGTATAAGCCTACCGAACATTTCCATCCACGACAGACACACATTCTCATCCTCGCAAAATACAGACTGACAGACACAGCGCACACAGACCGACAGACACAGCGCACACAGACCGACAGACACAGCGCACACATACCGACAGAGACACAGAACATTCCTTCCTCTCTGCGAAAGGAGGCATGTGAAGGATTCGGGGAAGGTTGCTCGACAAGTTATAATCGGCAGCGCTGCGCCGAAGGCGGTTTCCGAGATGGACTTGTGACTACCGCGCTCTCGAGCAAGCGAGTGAGCGCAACACTGGTGAAGGCCTTCTTTCGGCGAAGCTCGCCAACTCTACGTACGCGACGAGGGGCGAGACTTGAATTGTCATGACTGACAATTCATGCGAGCTGCAATTACTGGTAACATTGGGGAAAGTTTTATCTCGTAAACTAAAAGTAAATTATAATTTTGAATTTCTTGGTTCTTTTTATGCATGTAACCGCAGTTATGTACAGTATAATTTTTGTTATTATTATTATTATTATTATTATTATTATTGTTTATATTCACATTTATTCAAAAGCATCGAAATCAAGGTGTGACTGAGATCGGAGTCGCTAAGACAGACATGCTATACTTTCACAATCTCTGTTGTACAGACTAACAGGCAGATAAAAAGAGATAACACAAAGTTTTTGTGACTGACCAACGTAATTCTAAAAGTTAGTACATGATGTTTGTGACATGAAAAATGTAAATTATGAAAAGTGAGTGTTGGTCTCTGCGACTTCTTGCACTGAAGAGTGGTGCACTTTTATTGAAAGAAATGTTTACGAATACTCAAATCATTGAATATTTTGTACTTGAATTACAGTGCAGTATACTCTATAAATCGTAGTTTTTAGTACCTGAGGTAGTACAATCTAAAAGCCACTTTCACACTTTGCGGTCTCAACCAATTACGTTGGACGTTGAAAACCTGAAAAGTGTTCACACTAGTGTAACGATTTTTGACGCCTCATTTTTCGCAAGGCGGCAATTTGACAATAATCTCTCTTGAATAGTGAGGAAAATTCAATTACATTACAGAAATAAACATATTTCTAAAACTTTAATAAATCACATATTTAAATATTACTGTCATCTGACGTGCATACGAGGTAGAAATAAAGAATTCGCCGAAGTATACAGGGTAAGTATTCAGCATTTTGACGTGTATAGCAATTTGCCGCCTACGCGAGCAGTCGACGAAATAGTATATGCTTTGATAACATTGTATGAGGTTCAATATCACTTCATCTAATATAGAATGTTTCTTGTTCTGAGAAGACATGAACTCAATGATTGAGTGACATGTTGTTTGCTTCTTGTTCGTAACATAAGTGTATAGCGTATTCATTTTATTTTGGTTTGTGACTTTTGGTGGAACGGTATGGGTTCTGTTCGTAGTTAAGGCCAAACAATACACAGTTAAGCTACGGGAAATATACGTCTCATTATTAAGAAATGTGACAAAGAAAAGATTTCGGGCGTTCTTCAACACATGCTGCATAACAGCAATTTTCAGGTAGTAAACTATACTGAAGTATCTGTTCGAACTGTGACATCAATTA